GCGCGGAAATCCTGTGCAGAGTAAAAATGGACGAAATTGGCCATTTACAGCTTCACAGCTTAAGTACACGTGTGACATGACACGTGCAACATGACATCGTGCACAATTCAGTGATTGCCCGTTAGATCACCCATCGAAACATGCCAGTCTCTGTGTACTTTATTCCCTGGTTTCTTAGATATCACGAAAACCTGCAAGCCCCTCAAAAGAGCAAAACCGTGTAAATCCATAGTTTAACACATGGGCGCCATGACATGTGGCACGTGTTACCAAATATCATCGTCTCGCTCCTTCCATTTATCATTGAAGCGCACCAATCCCGGGTGTGTGAATGCCACAGGCGCCGAAATGTGGCACAAAAGGTGAAAATCCGTGGAACAGACCAAAATCCATCCGTGATCCCGTGCCGTGTGATGCGTGTGACCGTGCCATTTTGATACTTAAAACTTGGCATCTTGCAAGCAGTCCTGGAATGTGCAGCGCAACGATGTGTTGCAAAAGCCCGCGATGCAACTGCAAGTGTATTCGCGTCAGTTGTGAATGTTGAGAAACAAAATCCGCGCCTGTGCGCGCACGGCGACCGTCACACACAGCGCGCCGCCGACCGCCACGCCTGAGCCGAGATCCCTCCTACGGACAGCCCCTCCGCCGGCTCACTGCCGGACAGAGTCCTGACCTGATCTGTGAAGTGGCCTCTTGGAAGGTTGTTAAAAGGCAGAATAAAGCCATTTTATTTTCTACGTTTCTAAAAAACGATCCAACTGTCCTGAAAACATGAGTACACCGTTGCTTTTGGACTAACACTGTAAATGTGGAGAATGTGGTGATCTGATCACTTTCAAGATCATGACTATGGTCCTGGCCATCTGGTTAAGGCCAGTCTCATACCCAATGTAAAACCATGCCTTCGACCAAGTGCAGTTCCTTCTATGTAACTGGACATCGCTGGTACGCCGAAGTGAGTACGCGTGTGCTTGAATGCAAAATTACCCTCTGTTTTATGCAGAAATCTCAACCCGATTCACCGTCTAATGCATACACAATGTATGCCGCTCTGTGCAGTTTGTATACTACAGTACCAGATTCAAACGAGACGTTCCAACCATAATTTTGCTTACAAAGTGGTGCCTGTCTACCACACAATCGGCACAGCCAGCTATGCTACACGGGCGAAGGGGGTGAAGGCCAGGGGCGTAGCCAGGGTTTGCGCCGGAGGAGGGCAAGTTTGCACGAGCGAGCCCCATTGACAGCACATCTATGCACCATGAACCGACCAATAAGCCCCACAACCGCTAATAGGTACAGTACCTAGCGCATCAATGAGCTACCAATATTGGTTTGTCCGGGTGTCTTAAGCAGTTCTTTCAGCTGCTTACCGTGCATGTTCGCTCACCTATATGCGAGTCTTATTGCTAATGAACCACTTTTGGACTCCTCGTGTCACTGTTCATGCTAGTGTCTGAGATTTCAAACAAAAGCTGTTTGGTCACCAAAGTTTAGGATTACATACAGTAATATCGTGGTAAAAAACTGCTGCTGTGCCTGAACCATAGACCTTGAGCCTTACGAGCAGAGACGAATGGAGGGGGAGGTGGTTGCTAGGGTGGTTGGGGCCTCGGAGGGCCGTGCTGTTCTCGTGTATTTCTGTGCCGGAAAACACTAATGGCGGCGCCCTCCCCCCCCCCCCCCCCCGCCACTGGGGCAGCCGATGCACTCAAATGGGACCATGAAATGGGGCCGTCCAGACAGATCCGTGGTTACGGCCAGGAGCGGTAGATATCAGAGTGGTGCACGCAGTGCAGTACTTGTCGGCCGTTAACCTTTCCTCTTACCTGCTCGGATTATGTCACGCTGGACCACAACAAAATGTGGCTGTGTATAAAACCAAGCACGTGATAAAGAAAGAATGGGCGTATCTGGGTCCAAGACGTTTTGCTGGCGCAATGAGAAACAAAACTGGTGACTTGTAAAAGGGTCTGATTAATGCGTCTGTTGGGCACGTGGAAATGGTTGTGTTTCGTTGTGCCGCAGAATTCAGATCCAGTTGTGGCGGAAGGGGCAGCGCACACGGACGGCGTGGAGGCCGCCTACCAGCAAACAGCCGCGATGCCTCCAATGCCCGTCCTGGACGAAGTGGACGAAGACCACGGGGTCAACGAGTTGGGAAAAGACAGGCTTCATGACGGTGACGGCGAGAGGACCGAAAATGGCCCCCGCTGTGGCGACGAGATGGATGAGGTCAACATCGAGAACGACGCGCTGAGCCTCGTTGCCGGCTTCGTGGCGGCCAAGTGCAAACACCTCGATCCGAGTGTGGGACTGTCGACCCGAGAGGCATCACCCAGCTGTATGCCAGACATCTGGATACACACGATTAGCCAGTGGGTCTGAAGGTACCGTTGTCGGTCTGGACGAGCGTTGTTGAGGCTTTCGAGGATCGTGTTCCAGCTTGTGATGGGCCGAGGCATGGACCCAGACATTGGCATCGTCGACCGCCTCACAAAGTTCCTGCTGAGAAAGTTCTGCGCTGGACAAGCGGATTGTTCGGAAGCTGGCGACGACGCGCATCCATCAGGGCCTCCGAGGGCTTAATCAGGCTGGCGCTGAGCGGGCTGCTGCCAAGAGCGCAGCCAAACAGGTGCGACATCAGGTGGACTGCACAAAGTGAACATCGTTGCGCTTATGTGAGTATTCGTAAGTGACCTTAAGTGAGCATCGTCATGCTTTCCTTGTCTTGCGTGTTTGTGTGTCTGTCTGAGGCATAGACGGTTCCTTCGCAGATAAACGTTTGGGTTGTTTCAGACTGGTTATCGTGTCGCATAGCTGTAGATTTAAGCTGAAAAATATAAAGCTATATTTCCCGCCCCCCCCCCCTCCCTGTTTCCTTTGTATCCTTGTCAAGCTAGCACAGTGAAGTGTATGCTGGGCGCAAGAATCGTTTCAGTAAAATACGGTGAATTATTAGTCATGCGTGTGTTCGATGAACTGGCTGCATGGCGTGACGAATAGTTTCTTGATAAACGCCACGCACCACGACCTTCGAAGGCTTCGTGTCATAGTTGGTGCAATGTGCAATGTCCTATGTTCCACCATGCAGCACACCACTTCCGTCGTCTCACACTGCTTCCATCACACACCAGTGCAACCCGGCGCGTCATTATGTATAGTGCTGAGGTTCAGCGCGACAGTTTGGATGATGATCCTGGTGCCGGTCAGTTTCTCATTTGGCAGTAGCTGAACCTTGGGAAGGTTCGCCAGCCTGCATTTAAGCAGCTGTGGGCTGGCCAACTTTAATGCAGCGCCATGGACTCAATGTTTGGCGTCCTCAGCAAGTGAGAGTGCCATGGCACACGGGCTCCCGGTTCCTAGACCTATGTTCGCTGTTATACACCCAGCGTGGCAAAAAATCCCCCTATCATATTTTCTCATAGTGCTTCTTGAAACGCCCTGTGGCGATCACCAGATGCATTTGTTAATAGGTGCACCGCTGTGGCAGACGCGAAGGTAATGCAGGCGGCGCGGTGATGTCAGGCTGCGACTTTGTGACGTCACTGTAATAGTGAAGGGAAAGTGCCGGAAAAATCTCCGGATGATCATACCTTATTACATGGCCTTGAATAGACTGAAGGCTAGCCAGAATGCACATTCTTCAAAGGGAATGTTCCACATTTGAAGATATTGAGATAACTATCAGATATGATGGGAAAAGCTTACTTGTAACTATTGGTAAGCTTGTAAGGCTCAAAAACGACTCTGAGTAGCAAAATTTCGAGGTTTGTAAAAATGCACCCCATCACGACATCGTTTAGGGTGTCATGGATTGGTTTTGTGACGACAGCAAAACCTGGCAGCATCTGGCAGCCAGACCTAAAGAATACCTCGAAATGCGTTAAAGCTGACGCCCGCCGGCTATTCTGGTGGGGAGAGCTGCGTTGGGTGGCCGGTCACTGGATAGCTCGGTTGTGGATTCTTGTCTCGGCACTGGTCGTAGGACAAGCTTTGGTGGACGGTTTGACATACGCAACGTAGTGATCGCCGGCTTTTATGGCAGATTAGTAAGGATCTGCGCGATAAAAAGCACGACATGCTGTGAAAACCGTCATGCATTGACGTGAACCTCTAACCGAAACCTGCCGAGGACTGTTAAGGATGTCAATACTTAGCTGTCGACCTGTCCTTGCCTGCAGTGCTGTAGTCGTGACATTGATATCTTGTGATGTACGCAGTATTTTCCTTCTTTGTTGTTTGTAACTGGAAGTGCAGTCAGCTACAGAAATTAACAATGAATCTGTAACATTGCTATGCATTCATCACCAAATTGTTGTTATTGCTATGGTAAAGATCGTGAGGTTGAGCCACCAAGAATGCTTTTCTCGCACAGGATTATTTATGCACTCGCTAGTTAGCCCTGATGCAATCATTGTGGTGCTATGGCATTCCGACTTGCAATAGCCCTTTGGCAGCGTTAAATAAGCTGTTAAGTCATTCATAAATTATAAACTGTTTTCTCACAGGCTTGACAGAGCAGTCAACCAATGTGGTACATTGTGAAATGACATTGGTCAGCTGTGTCAGTGTGGCCTACTTCAGCGCTGTACTGTGGCATGGCATAACAAACTATGATGTGATTTTTGTATTGCAATCCCCCGCTGCTTTCATAATAAATTCCATCATGAGAAGATGGGTAAAGTGTGCATTCTTGTGTCAACTCTGCATCTGACATACGACTGGCCAGAAACACAGTATACAATATACAAATCACTTTCAGAAAAGCACACAACCTATAAGTGACTTCACTTGTTCAGCCTGTTTTGTGAATCCCCAAAACGTGGGTAACATAGATGCAAACACATCTTTGGCAAGGCACATTCTGCATCCAACGGTAATGAAAACTAATATCACACTCCCCAACAAACATCGCATGGCATTCCACCAGCAGCATCCATCCTCAATGGACAATGTTTAACGCCCGCCGGGACGAGCAAAGCGGGGCTAGCTAGTCATGGCAAATGTAAAATACTGGAATCGGCGAGCCGGGTGCGGCTGTCCGCCAGGCTCTCCAGACTCTCGTCCGGCCGATGTCCGCGGCGCACAATTGGGTGTGCCACACCGCAGTTCTCCGACGGATCAGTGATGGCGACCTGCATACGCTTGTCCACGATGGCCTCCTGGAGCGGGCGCACGTGCGGAAAGGTGCTCGACACCTTCACCGACCACAGCATGCACTGGTCGGAGACACGGCTATAGACGCGAGACGCTCTGGAACCATGCAACAAAGTTGAGTCATAGATGATTCACATTGGCATCCATCACTATGAACTTTCGTTGCTGACAATACGTTCTCCATAAAAGAATAATGCTGATAAAAAGCAAAGTAAAAACAAGCAAAGCACCATATTACAGAAAAACTTTCGCCACCTAGTTACACCAAGTCGCCAAATGATGACGTTCTATAACTCTGTCTAAGCCATTTTCCATGAATGAATTTCTGGGACCAGTTTCCAAAATAACGGAACCTGGAATGCGCCTTAAGCGCATCTGATCGTAGGAATACCGTTTGTAGAATTATGACGTTCCTCCACGTGCCACATTGCTCAGCAGAGTCCACCCCGCCCTCTGACATCAACTGGCCTTGAGCGGCCAAAGCCACCGGATGCATGCCATTCCAGCCATGGGCAAAATAGGGAGCAACACCGCGGTTCCCGCTCACCCACCGCCGCGCATGCTAAGGCAGACATACAAACTGAGGCGGACAAATGTTACTGGAAGTCATCGCCAGGTACGTAACACCCATTGCATTTTTTGAGGGGTCCCCATTGTAATCACAATTTTTTGCTCGTTCTGGTTAGATGAAATAAAAACTTTCCGGGTTGAGCTCTCTCTTTTCAAGGACGCGACCACCCCATGGTTAGTTAAATACTGCTTTTTACATGATCACAAGACTACCAACTGTTTTTTGACTACCAGCCACTAAATACCACAAATAGTCAAACCCAATACTACACATTGCTGTGTTAACAGGTGATACATGTACTGTTGTGCTGGAGTATTCAGTGCGCCCCTTGCAGCGGTCAATCCACGCAGTGCGCCCGAGAGAAACCGCCGGTGGCGCCGCGTGGCCGCCCCCCGCCAGCGCCCAGCGCCCTGGGGTAGCCGCCGGTGGCGCCACCCGGTCACTCTCAGTCCGCGCCCAGCGCCCGGGGGCAGCCGCCGTTGGCGCCGCGCGGCCGCCCTCAGTCTGCGCACAGCGCTCACCGGGTGCTCCAGTACGGGCTTCTTGAAGGCGACGTAGGTGTCAACGAAAGTGAGCGGCACGGACACGCCAAACCAGAGCCCGATCAGCGTCAGTGTGGTGAGGAATGGCAGCGCTGCCGACGAGTCGTGCACCCACGGCACGCAGTTCGGCAGCAGGGTGATGCTGAACACGATCGTGCGGACGGGCGGCAGGCGGGGGCTCAGTGGGAGCACCAACGATGCATTCCACAGCGGCCCGAACCCACCCTCGATAGCCACGACATCCAGCGGAACAGACAGAAGTAGGTGTCAACGAAACGAAAAACAAACGAAAGCAGGTCTCACCCGACCCCTAAGCACAGTGATTTTTCTTCTATGGGGGGCACAGGCATTGCCAATGGCCATGATTACGTTGGCCGCGTTCACCCACTCCACTGCGATTGGGGGCAGGACTCAACGGTACAGATCCCGCGCACAACGCATCATCAGCCGATTCAAACGTGGAAATTTTCCAAGCTTGGTACATGTCACGCCCAAGTGTGCTTCCATCAAGTTCTAAATCTACAGCGACGCCAAAATCGCACAAATAGGATGCACGCATGAGCGGTGCAAATTCTGTGCCAGAGCGGTGGGTGGGCGCGGCCCGGCGCCGACTCGTCTGCTCCGGCGCACACTCTGCCCGGAGAGAGCGACTGCCCGATGCGCCGGCGCGGCGGCACCTGGGCACGGCTCACTCCAGGCACAGCGTCAACGTCAGCAGCACGTCGAGACCCCACTTTTCGCCGCCACTTCCCGACGTGTAGATTCAGGAGGACATTTAGCCGGTGGGCATACCCAGACAGATGCACAGCACGGGGCCACAGGTTAGTAGCGAGCCGCGGTTGACTGGTGACAGGAAGCCCAGGCACGCGAGCACTGCAGGGGCTGGTCAGAGGCCATCACAAGACCCTAATATGGACGGCCGGAGGTCAGCGTCGATACTGGTGCAGGCGGTCAGAAACCAGCTGGTACAGGTCAGCGACGCAACACAGGCAGGACAAGAAGCAGTTACGTGAGTGAATTATACAGTAGATGTCAACTTCTTGAATTCATTTTCAGTACACGATGAACGGCATACGTTTACGTCATTACATTATGCATCCATTTTCTCAAAAAAATAAAACGGCATTAACAGCAACAACAAAGCACCTAGGCTCCCTGCTCATCCCACAGCGCGGACCACCAAATCACAGTAATCCCCATCAAACGACGGGTGCCGCACAGTCCCGGTAATAATGTCGCATCTTGAAAGACCGCCAGGCGTGAAGACAGTGTCATTGCAATGTCAACCAAGGCACGGACAACCATCACCGCAGGGGCCGGCCCGAATACGGCTCAGGCGCGAGGGCCATCATAGCGGCCGTAAGTCATCCACCGAGTGTGATGAGCGTCATGGAGAGCACCTGGACACCTGAGTTCATTTGCACGGAGAGCAGCATGCCGTGCCGAGGCGGTCGGAACACGTCGCCGTACACCCGCTTTCAGCCAAGCCCCTCGATAGAATCGTCGCCCGACTCGATCTGACGGGCAGCCCGCCGACTGTCACTCCCAAGCCCCGGCCGGGGACGGCTGTCACTCCCAAGCCCCGGTCAGGGATAGCTGTCATTTGCCAGCCTCGGCCAGGGACGGCTGTCACTCCGGAATCTGATCCAGCCGGCCTACGCACATGAACCCAACTATTAAGCTGCAAGACCCAAGATACCCGACAGCTCTGCTACGCGCGGCCAACAAACGGACCCAGAGCACAGCTGGCTGGCTGCCAGTAAGGCCCAGCACCCAGCCGGGCGGCGGGGCAGTGCCACGGGGCGTGCCGCGGCCACGCCGTCCACCACAGCAGCACCACAGCATGGCCTGGCTGTGGCTGCACGAGCCACGCAATCTCGCAGCACGCTCAAACTGACACACTGACGAAAACTGACTCATACTTGAACTAAAGCTCAAAATCCAACCCCAAAAGAAAACATTTTGACCTTTATTCTGGTCTTATCCCCAGATCCCTGGTGTACACGCTGGAAGCACTGGAGTGCTTGGAACACCTTCCCTGTGCTGAAAACAATTAAGTACACCAATCATCATCACCAGTTAGATTAATAATGAACAAAACTGTCAGCACAATGTGCACGTTATAGGACAGCAATTTTACATGTCCTCCAAGTGTAACACAGAACAATGTTTTACTTATATCATGCGACTGTTCATGTCAGAAATGAAGACCTCAGTCAGCTTAGCTAACATGAACCATTGATATTACGCTATTTAAGAGAGGGATTCCGGAGTCGTGTAGTGGTTAACGCGCCTGCGTTAACCTCCGCGCGTCTGGGAAACCAGAGGTACGGGGTTCGATTCCCCGCGGAGCCCGCCCTTCCTGCCAGGGTGAGAGGCAGGCGACGCCATACAGTCTCAGCAGCTGAGTGCGTCGTATAGCCCCAATGGCACACACACACACACACACACACACACACACACACACACACACACACACACACACACACACACACACACACACACACACACACACACACACACACACACACACACACCACACACACACACACACACACACACACACACACACACACACACACACACACACCACACACACACACACACACACACACACACACACACACACACACACACCACACACACACCACACACACACACACACACACACACACACACACACACACACACACACACACACACACACACACACACACACACACACACACACACACACACACACACACACTATTTAAAACCAACACATCACAAATCAGTCCCAATACTACACCGAGAGCAATACTGCGCCCTGTAAATGACTCAATGCCTTGCCACGCATTTCACAGTATATTAACTGGTAGACGTTTGCTTACAAGGCACCACACTAAAATGCATGAATGAATAATGACTAAAAGAAGACATGAAAATAAACGAGACGACAAGCTGAGGTCATGCACCCATGAACTCTGCGAGCTGTGAGCATGGTGCTTGACTGTCACCAGCTTTAGTGAATGGTGAGCAAATTTAGTGCTTTGAAATAATGGCAGTAACAACCCAACAATAATGTCAGTGCCGGAATGTGACAACTGGGTGCTCAGTTCAGTGCAAATTTGATTGCAGCCCATAAACTTCAGGTGGTAGGTTGAACACGCCGATGAATATCTGCAATCTGGAACAATGGATTAATTGTTGAAACTGATACCCCTGCTCCTGGCCTGACTGGATAAATTAATAATGAATTACATATCTGTTTATGCAAGTCGTTACATCAAATGGCCAAGGTATATGCAGCCTCCATGACGCCTCCATGAACTTGGTGAGAAAGGTTGGAGATGGGAGCAGGCAGAAATATTTGATCTTTCTGAAAAAATGTCAGAGCAAAGTTGCTCCCATATTTCCCACACAACATGGGTAGGAAATATTCCATGTGCAGGCGTTTGTCGTCACTCGATTTGGGTTGTGTAGTGGTAGTGTTGTTATCCCCGTCTACTCACTCTGAAAAACCCATCAACTCTGCCACACTCACCTAGCATGTTATGACGATAGCAGCTTGTATTCGGCGCCGATTTTTAAAACTTGGCATCCTGCAATATTTCCTGCAAATTGCAGCGCAGCGGTGCGTTGCATCAGCTTTCAATGCGCACTGAAAATGTAGCCGCTTCAGTTGTGAATGTCGGGAAACAATCTTCAGGCCTCTAATTTCTTTCCGGACCGAGATATAACGGTAAACGTAAAACCGCGTCAAAAACGGCCGATTTCATCTTGTCAACACGTGTGCACGTGCCACGTGTGACGTGGCGCCAAAAACGCACCCGATTACGATGGCCCATTCCGTGCGCTATCGCACCGTGCAAGCTGCATGTAGCTACAACCGTTGGTTACCGAGATACGGCTTCGGGAAGCGAGGCGTGTCGGGGCCCTCGGCCGGGATCGTGAAATTGGCGTCGCCCGGGTTAACGCTATGAAATTTTTGCATTCTTGTTCGCTCAGCACGCGCTCATTTTTTAGAAATGCAGAGTTTTGACGCGAATTTGTCAAATGCAGCCTGCGGATGTCGGTCGTGTGCAAATTGCATGCAAACACTCCGGACCGTTTGGCCTGCAGGTGATCTAACGGGTACACCCATTCACACTCACACTGTTCCTTTAGTAACATAGTTGATTGATGATGATAATTGATGATATAAGTGCTTGAAATAAGAGGTATGTGAAGGCGTGTCTTAAGAAGATGAATAATAAATGTCGGTGCAGTATTATCTGGGCTTGCCTTATACATGTGCCAGATGCTAAAGTGGATCAATTCTTTTAAACTGCGTGATTCTTGTATGTGTGGCCTTGTTGAATTAATCGCAAGTATTTTGTTTGAAGAGTTATATGATCCTGTGAACATGACCCTCTGTAGAAGCAAGCTATGGGTATATTGAATTCCCAACCCATTGAAGGAAACGTTCTACATTGCAAGGTTTTAAAGCAAGCATCAGGTATGACGAGATAAGCCCACTCTTTACTCTTGGTATGCTTTAGAGGTAGAGAAGACTGCTATAGACAACACCATTCCTCCGTTCAATAAATATGTTCGTTAATACGTCATTGTTTGATTACGTCACCGTGTCTTGCACAATATTGATTGAAAGCCAATTGAAAGCAGTTATACCTGGAAAACGTTCTCACGAACTTCAGATATAAGCGAATCGACCATTCTGTTTTTCTTGATCTTGATCGCCAAATGGCTAGTGGAAAAGTATTATATGAATGACGCTATTATGACGTCATGGATGTCTGGGTGACCTTGAAATGGTCTCCCTGAAATAGTCTGCACATTTTCGCGGGCAACAAGCTCAGAAGCTAGGGGGATTTTGGGTCTTAAGGAGAGCACAGCTGCTAACTGTACCGAATGACCTTCAAAATGTATATTTCAGCTCAAACCTCCATTTAAATGTGGAACATACATACCTGAGATTTATTGTCTCCAGCTACCATGCGCATATGGACGTAGGTTTAGGTACGACGGGGAATATGACAAAAGCGATGTTCCGCGTTCATTGAACTAGCATACCTCACACCAAGCACAGTGTCTATAACTTCACCAATGCCATCTCAGAAGCGTAAGTCCAGGTTTTTTCATGTGAAATCACAAAAATGACGTACATTGAAAATGCCGCAACACCAGTTCCATCTAAAAAATGCGGAACCAAAACTGGGTGAATAGCAACGTGCGATACATAACTAGACGTCATGTACTTAGCTTTGTCCGGCAGCAAGGCGATGTTAAAGCGTAATATGTCGTTGCGTTATAACGATATGTTTGTAATTCGTATCATGTATGCTAAACTTCCCCTTTTGTTTCCGGGCTACATGAAAAACCCACATTTTAATGAGATTTAAGCTATGAAAGATGGGTAGAATGCAAGGAGAGCTGAAATTTTTAACGCAAATGGCAACAGCATGAATCAATTTAAATTGTACTGCATTTACCATCATTTTGTCACATCGGCTCTCGCACGCTTTAACCACAACGCAGCGCCACTGTCGCTAGCAAGCAAATGGACACGACTGCGTGTAACGATCTTCGTCAACTACTCCCTACATTCTGTTGCTAGCAAATGCGTCTTGCACAGGCGCGCGTCCAATGGGGGGGGGGGGGGAGGGGGAACGGGGCGTACAGGGTGCAAACAACATGTGACCAGCACGACTTGAGATTTGCTTGCAAAGCTCTATCGAGCAAATTGCAGCAGTCAGTCTTGATAAGAGTTATTGATCGACGCTAATGATAGGTAAGCTGATAAGTACTATGAAGTCACCCGACCTGGCGCTCAGCACGATCTTGTAGTAATTTTAGAAAGAAGAGCACCAGCAGATGCCACGCTAGTAAACTCAATTAGGAGCGTAGTATTTCAGAAAGAGTTGGCGGGGAAGGGGGCCGGGTCACCAACGCAAGATGGCACAACCTACCCTAGAAATACGCCAGCAGACGGTTTTTCCGACGACTTTCATATACCGGTGGGGGAGCGCGGGGAGTATCACTCACTCTCCCAACTGAATTGGAAACTACAGCCCGAATCCGACTGAGACAGAAGAGCAGGAAAGAAGAGAGCAGGAAAAAGAAGAGCAGGAAAGAGAGAGAGAGGAGAGAGAGAGAGAGGAGAGAGAGATGAGAGAGAGAGAGAGAGAGAGAGAGAGAAGAGAGAGAGAGAGAGAGAGAGAGAGAGAGAGAGAGAGAGAGAGAGAGAGAGAGAGAGAGAGAGAGAGAGAGAGAGAGAGAGAGAGAGAGAGGAGAGAGAAGGGAGAGAGAGAGAGAGAGGGAGAGAGAGGAGGAGAGAGAGAGGGGGAGGGGAAGAGAGACGTATGCCTCGTTTCACGATGTATTCACTGCGGCAGCAGGCGTCCAACGTTCCGCCGCTGAGTAAACATGGCAGTTTACCAACATTTACCACTTGCTTTCAGATGGTCTCTAGTTTTTGCTTAGTCTGTTCAGT